CTGTTGGAGATTTAGATTTTCTGCCACGATCTCTGCTTTTGTTTTCATTAACAACTGGAGACTTTCTGCGATCTCTTGATTTACTTTTATCATCAGCCTTATTTCTATCCTCTGGAGGAGATTTAGACTTTCTGTTTTTCTCCTGAGATCTCCTCTTAAGCATTGGGGACCTAGATTTCCTTGTCTGATCTTGAGACTTACTTCTCTTATAAGGGCTTTTGGATTTCCTCCTTTCTTTTGACTTGCTTCTAGTTGTCTTCTCTTTGACTCCATCAACTCCTGTCTTGCCTTTCTTTTTGTCAGACCTGTGCCTAGTCCTTTCTTTTGATTCACTCTTACTTGCTTTCTTGGAACTAGTTTTATTGTCCACAGGTTCTAATTTCCCCTTAGTGTTTGACTTTGCTGTAGGTCTCGTTCCATTTCGTGCTTTTTCATTAATCTCCCCCTCTTCTTCAGATCCTGACTCATAACCTTGTAATATTAATCCCATCCCAGATTGGACTTTTCCTTCCATTAATTCATTTTCAAGTTCAGCTTTCAATAATGCTCTTTGTTTCTCCAAGTCTTCCAGAGGAGCTAAAAAATCAATTTTAGTTCTTTTAGCTGGTCCATCTTCTTTGTCAGAGGCATCAGCCACCTCTTTCCATTTATGTTTCTTATGTTTGTGTCTGTGTTTATGTTTTTTGTCCTTATCTTCTTCTGAAGAATGTTTATGTTTCTTGTGTTTACTTCGGTGTTTGTGTTTCTTTTTTTTGTGTCGGGTGTGCTTGTTCTGAGGTTGGTCTGCCTCTGATACTTCCCCATTTTCTTCATTTACACTTTTCTCGGATGCCTCAGCATCCTCAACCCTGCAAAAAAATAAAGAGATCAGTCCTATCAACTTGCTGCAGTCTTTTATCTCATATTAACTCAACAACCTTTTTTATCACAAAAACTAACTGGCATTTAATCACTTACCTTTGGGAGAATTAAAAATGTACGACTAATTTAACTAAGTTGTAACAGCAGATACAGTTCCTCACAAACACACAGCTACTGCTGCACAGCAAAATACTACGGAAGGAAAATACAGCAAATGCACTGACAAAACAAGATCTGTGGGTGGAATCAATGCTCACACCTTTAGATTCAATGCCGACAATATCTGTTAATAACATACAACAGTGCTGCATATTTACATATCTTGTCAGTCCATCATTATCTTTTTCACTTGCTGTTCCACTGCAATGCCTAACCCAAGCTATGGATTTTAAAAGTATTTTCCAACGGTAGAAAACAGTTGTGCTCCAAAGATCAAAATTTATTTCAAGGGATGATGCTGACCAGCTAACGAAACCTTCTTGTAAAATCTCACTCAGAGCTGACTGACTCCCTTAACTGGATCTTCTTTCTGTAAGTGTACACACCTGTTAGAAAATCAAGAACTCTTCTTACACACTTGTATTATTTATGCAAGGCAGGGAACACTATTGAGGAACAGTATAAATTAAGGAAGTCTAATTTCAGAGTAGCTTTCTGACACTATACAGCAGACAGCAGCTTCGAAAAAAGTGTGGTAATCTTTCTACCTGTAAAATGGCATTGAGTGAAACAGCTGAAAATAAGTCTGCAGCAGGTTATTCAAATAATAATAATATGCAGTGTTTCTTCTAAAAAGAATAGTTTCAATTAAGTATAATTTCTTCAAGTAGAAACTTTGAAAATGACAAAATTTAGACTTGATGTTACACATTCCCTTATATTATCTTCCATAGACAGTGAAACTGGCTTAACTACAGGTTTTTTACACTGTTTAGCAAATACCTCCTGATCTCCTTCAGAACATCAATCAAGTTACTGTCTGTGTTAAGACAGACATTTGCCTTTTGAAATCTGTTTCCAAATATTACAGGTGCCAGAGCTCACCTTTCTACAAACTAAGCTAATACTAGCTTACTAAGCAAACTAGCTAATACTTTAAGAACTTAAATGTTGCTCTTCCTGTATCCCAGGCCTCATTAGTCGAAAACAAATCCCCTACACATGACAGTCAGGGTGAATGTACACAGAAATGTCAAAACTATCTTCTGAACTCTACTAGTTTCATATGACAATTGTTTCTGAAGGTTATGATCAATGATCTGGTAGAACAAATGTATCAGAGACACTGTAAGCCAGGTCTAAAGGACGGCACCTCACTATAAATTTGGTTAGTGTCATCCTAATTCAGGACAGGGTCTTCAAACAGCGCACAGTTACTGACTCTCTCCAGCTTGAGTTAATGCAAATTCTAGAACTAGTAATAATACAGACTTTTCTGCAACATACACTAAAATTATTTGCTAAAACCATTAACACTTCAGTGCTCAGAAATGAGAAACTTCCCAAGGGACTGTTTGAGTTAAAAACATGCAATATTCAGAGACTTCAGTCAGAATGCTACACGCCTTTTCTTTTAGATCTTCACTGCTACTTCTGCTTATTCAAGGTACATAGAAAGGGTTTTTTCTTAATTGCATCCTCCTGATACTGCACACCACTATGACAAGAGAATATCAGAACAAAAGAGGAAAATCTGCCTTAAAAAGAACTTACTCTAAGTTGCATTGGGCACAAAAGAAAAAAAAAAAAAGGAAAGAAAGTATTAAATGCAGAACTTCCACTTGTATTTGCAGTCCCGAGCAAGTATGTCTGTGATATAAGTTGGGCAAAGAAATGCCACAAGGAGAATTTTAAGGGTACTATGCGTCTTTCAAGATTTCTTTTAGTTGGCTACAGGATACTGTAGCAAAGTCTTCCTTCTCTTAATAGCAGAAAGTGACACTGAAACCTTTAAGGAAGTTATTTTATTATATTGCATGTATTTTAAAGTTATGTAATAACCTCATCTTAAATTCTGGAAAAGTAAGCTGGCAGAGAAGGCACCAGATGAGATATAACACCCCAGCAATATCTCAGGCCATTACAGACTGCCAATACAACTGCCAGCTGTCTCTGTAACTCAACAATAAAATTACTATTAAGTTCATTAATATGCACAAAATAGTTCAGATTTTCTTCATGTACAGGAATATGTTCATTTCAAGTAATTCCATCAAAATGTGGATAAACTTTTACTTCATTTAAACGCTTCAGAGGTGTATTGACATGGATGAGAAACCTTTTAAGAAGATTTTAGAAGGTGATGAGGTAGTTTAGTATGTGCATGTTTAGGCACTAATGGCTTTAAATAGAGACAAATTGTGACATGATCTTGTTATAGCCCTATTTCTTCCTACTTCAGAATTCAAAAAGAAGAATGATAGGAAGTTCATAAGGATTTGCAAAGAGATTTCACCCATCTTTTCCTACATACAAGGTTCCTATCGTCAGCTGCTATCTTATCACTTAGTTAACTTTCTCTATGCAATAGTAAACACTCATGTGTTTTTACATAGTTCACACGTACACCCACCCTATTTCTTCACTCGTTTTCCACTCCCACGATCAACAATGAAATCAAGCCTCAAATCAAAACTTTTTAAGGCAGAAAAAATACAGAAAGCAGTTTATACAGCTAAAATATTTATATAGCGAAGAAGAGCGATAGAGTAATCATTACGATGTTAACTCCGGGCAAAATTTCCAGAAGACTGTGTTCACGATCTCCTGAGTGGGGACAAACATAAACCACAGGGCACTAACCAGGGTGCCAGGAAAACGCACGCCCGGGAGCCCCGGTCTGGCGGGGAGGCGGCAGCTCGATCTCCGCTTCCCAACGGGAGCCGGGAGTTGCCAGTCATTTCGAGGGCTGGAAGGAGGGGCTGGCGGCAACAAATCGCTTTCTGCTTCCCGCAGCACAGGCACTTTCCCTACCGCGAGAGCGGCGGGGCCCGGGGGAAGGAAGGCGGGCGGGAGGTGGGCTCGCCGCAGGGCGGGCAGCGGCTCCGCGGCCCCGGGGCGCCACCGAGGCACCCGCTGGCCCGGAGCAACCCCGGCCCCGCTCGGACAGGGCGTGTGGGGGGGGTGGTGGTGGTGTGTGAGTGGCGGGGGAGGAATCCCGGGCAGCGCCGGCCCGGACCCACCTCAGGATGCCCACCAAGTCCTGCGCGCCGGGCGGCGGCGGCCTCGCAGCCACGCGGGAGGCGCCCCCCCAACACACCCTCGTCCCCCTGTCCGGCAAACCCGGTTCCCCAGCGGCGATCGCCGCTCCCCGTGGCCGCAGCGCCCCTGGGGCGGGAAGGCGCACGCGGGACTCCCGGGGACACGCGCCCGCCGGTCCCGGCGCCGCTTCCCTTCCCTTCCCCCTCCCGCGCGGCCCTCCCGGATCCACGGGCGAACGCAGTGTCCCCGGCCCCGACGGGTCGCCTCGCCGCGAGCCCAGCCGCTCCTACAGCAACCACTCTGCCCCGGGGCGGCCGCCTTCCCCCATCCTCCTCTCCTCATCCCCTCCTCCTCCCTCGCCACTTCCACCCGGGCCGCTTCTCGTCCTCCCGTCCCGTGTGTGTATTCCCCCCGCTTCAATCCCCTCGCCCGCGCTTCTCCCTCCGCCTCCCTCCTCCTCCCCGAGGAGCCGCAGCGAAGAGACACCCCCCCAGCCCCAGCTAGCCCCTTACTCGGGCGGTCGCTGCTCGGGCTCGGCCGCGGCGGCCATTTTGAACTTCCGAACTCCTTCGCTGCCGCCGCCGCCGCCGGGAAGGGGGGGTGGCGCGGGGCCGGAAGTGAATCCCGCGCGCGGGGCCGCGAGCGCGGCGGAGGCTCCGCCTCCTCCCCCAGGGGCGCCAGGGGGGAGGCGGCGGGAATGGAGGCGGCTGGGAGTGAGTGGCGTTGGCTGGGAGTGAGTGGCGTTGGCTGGGAGTGAGTGGCGTTGGCTGGGATATCCAGGGGTGGGGAGCGGGGGCGGGGGGCGCTGGAATAGGTTCTTCAGAGAAGCTGTGGATGCCCCATCCCCGTGAGTGTTGAAGTCTGGCTTGGCTGGAGCTTGGAGCAACCTGTTCTAGTGTCCCTGCCCATGGCACAGAGGTTGGAACTGGGTGATCTTCAAGGTCCTCTCCAGCTCAAACCATTCTGTGATTTCATGGTCTTGTTGTAAGGCGTTGTTCCGCCTTATTTGCCTTCTCAGGCTGCTGGGAAAAGGCCGGTGGGCTTTGGCGGCGGGATGTTGGGCTGTGTTTGGGATGTGCTTGTGATGATGGCTGTTGGGTTGGAGGGGTGCAGATTTCTCACCAGCGTGCTTGGCTTTTAAGATCAGTATTAGATTTAAAATTACTAATTGCCGTGGTCTCTTAACAGGAGCTGCTGTAAACTTAGCACAGAAATGCTGTAACATTATTAACCTGTATTAATTTTTAATTTCAACAGGTGACTTGAGGAGTCATTTATGGCATTGTTGTTCTCATGAAGAATTCTCACTTCTTTCAGATAGTCTTAAAATCTGTGAACATCCTGAGGACTGGAATCTGAATTTGGATTTCACTGCACGTTAGCTTTTTGGTAGGACGTTTAGAGTGCCTTAGAGACTTCTTAGAGTTTGGATAAGTGAATTTTAACTCTTTTGCTTATTGTCTTTTGTAGATTTGTCTACTAGCAACTACAGAAAATTAATGAATTTAACTACAAATACCAATGGTTTCTGTCAATGCACCTGCACATCACCTCAAGGACATCACAACATGCCGCTGTGTTTTTTTGAAGCCCAGATTGCCTGGTCTGGTGGAAATATTTCAGGTGGAGATATACAGGTGCAAGCTCTGCCAATTAATAAGGAGGATCAAAAGTAAGATCAGGATGCACCTGGCTCAAATGTGTGAGACAGATATGGCAGGTCAAATTTCGGGGTATCCTAAAATGGACGAAAGTGAAAATGAGTCATATGGCATGGGAGATGAAAATAATGAAAGCAAATAAACTCTTGCAAAAAATAACTGTCCTGTTGCCTGTGTATCAGATGCCTCAAAATATGAGTCCTCACTATTGTAACATGAGCCTGAGCATAATCCTCATGCCTCTCACTCCTGTGAACACCTTGTTTGGAGAAGCAGCAGCTCATTTGCAGCTTGAGGAACCCTGCAGTGCTGACTTCTCTCCTGTATTCCAAGAGAAAGGATGGAGAAGCCCAGTCTGTGACTCTTAGCATCTCTATCATTTTACAGTGTTAGAACTCAGACCTTTGCTGGGGAGGTAAAACCTGCTAAAGCTGAATGGAAGTGTAAACATTACAACAAAAATAGCTGCAAGCTTGATGTGAAGGGTCAGCTCGTTCTGTGGAAGATGCTTGTGCCTTAAAGCTGGGTTCTGAGAGAAGGCAGCACTTTTGCAACATGTGCAATAGAGCACTAGAGCCAAAAGATGCTGAGCAAATCCGTTGAAAGGGTCATGATGTGGATCGTGGTTTTAAATGTATTTATTGTCCCATGGATCTTAATGGAAAATCATTGAAGAATCACACAAGCGGATAAAAGAAACCTACCAGTGCCTCATCTGCGAAAGTGCTTTTATGTCACAAGATGCCTGGAGAGTGAATAAAAACAACCATTAGAGGAAACCTCCTCCCAGTGCGTGGTATATCTGTCGCCTTCTGAAACTGAGCAGATAAGAAATCTTCATGTAGCTTGCTTATCATTATCGGGATATGGTTAGATGTCCACACAGTGATTTTACCAGTAAGTCAAATTTTGTTTTTCATTCTCATAGAGTTGCCTCCTCAACTATAAACTTATCTGTGCAAATAACTTTATTTGGTCAATACAAAATTTATTACAGAGTTTCAGTGTGAGCTGTAAATGTTACCATCAGAAGCTACTGTAAAATATCTTCATGCTAGTTTAAGCAAAGAAAATGTAACAATTGAAAAATTCTAAAAATGTGTTGTAAATGTTCACATTTAGATGACATTCCTTCATTCTGAAAAATCCTATCTCATTTTATATTTTGGATTCTGAATGTTTCTAGGAGTAGTTGACCATCATATTCCAATTATTTCAATATTATTAGCTTTTTAATGGCTCTAACATTACTGTAAAGGTACTTCTATCAAGGTTAATGCTTTTTTTAGCTTTTTCAAGTTTTGTGACACTGCTAATAGCTAAATATTGTCTCCATTTATAAATGGAAGACCTTGACTGAGTAACATAATCTGTGTCTCCTAAATCACAAAAGGACATTATTCCAGTATTCTCGTGCTGTTCACCTTTGCATTAACTACTGATGTTGCTTATTTACTTATTATACTTTTTTATATTTTTTCTCTCATTAGTTAAATAATGTTTCTGTTACTAATTCCAAGTGTTTTGCCCTCAATAAAGTTATGCATTTAGTCAGTAGGTAAAATCTTGAAAGATTGTGTACAAAGGTAGTCTGGGCATTGTTCTGGTTAACCTTTCGGTGTTGTGGCTGATTGCAGTGAATAATTGATTTTAGCAAGGTTTCCATGCCTGCTTCTGTTAATATGAACAAAATTCCTGCTTTATGCTTTGAACTACTGATTTGGTTCTGATTGCTCAGTAGGGCCTAGTGAAAAAACAGGGAATTGTGAAGTAAGGTGATGGCTCATGGGTGTGCTCTGGAGTTTGTGGCAGTGGTCAGGTAAGAAAACTGACAGTGTTAGGAACATTGGGGAATGTGCAATGACAGGGCTTCCAGTAATTGTAGCCAGGCCAAGCATTGCATCTGTGTCACAGTAAAGGTTTTGAAGGGTTTAGATTGGTTATATGTTACACAGTCTAATTTTGATGTCTTCATTGTCTTTAGCATACATTGGGTTGTTATGAGGCTTTTTACTGTTTGAAAGGGCCAGAGACAGAATTCTTATGGAAGGTTACAGCAGACTTTCTGGTGAAAAATTGATTGAAAAAACAGTAATTTTTAGAACTAAAAGCAAAACAAGTATTTTATTTGCTTCACAAAGACTTACAGCATCTCCACTTGACTGTGTGTGACTGCAAGCCAACAACAAGGCTGCAGGCCAGCATAACTTCTTCTCTAAGGGATTGGGAAGGAAACCACGTGGAAAGACAGCTGCAATTCACAGTAATTCAAAATAAAGTTGACTACAACAGCGAAAAGATTCATGAGTGTTTATACGAACTATGCTTTTGTAAGTGAAAGGATATCTGGTTTTTATTAACAAATTATAAATTACCTCTTGAACGAGTAATTTCATTCCTTTTGGATGGGAGACGTGGGGATCAAAAATCTGTCTCCCTTACAACTAAAGTGAGAAAACCTGGGACTAGATTTTTCAAGATACTCTTTTGACAATTTCCATTATGTCTGGGGGCAATGAATTTTGAAAATTATAACTTACCATTCACTGTTATGTTAACATGCAGAAAGTTTACTTAATTTTAGCTTTTTGGTGAAAAATTTAATAGGTTAAATAATATTTTTTAAATAGTCTGTAGTAGTATAGAATTGTAAATATTTTATATTTGTTCTGATTATTGTTTACATTTTTATAATAAATGTGAGCAAAGGAAGCCTTTCTAAATATATCTTTAATGCATGCTAATTTCTATAAATTTTTGAAGTGGAGAAGAAACATTAAAGAAACTAAGAAACTTTCAAACTTTTTTCAGGTATTTCATTCCGTTAAAGGAAGCTTCCATTAAAGGAAGAATGTGTAACGTGATAAGGAACTGTCCTTTGCTGATTTGTTGTGCTTGCAGAGCTAACACAATGGGTGTAAGAGCCTTCCTGCTTGCTATGGGGATAGTTTTGGAAACAAGTTTTAAGAGTAGCTTTGCACTTGGGTAAGCTTGTGTTTAACTTAGTGTCACGTTTCAGCTGCTAATTGCTAGGTATTTGATACAATATACTTGTTGTAGCTTTTGACCTACGTGAAAGCCTAAGTGGTTACTGGGAAAAAATGTACAAATTGCTAAAATACTGAAGTTTCTTCCTAATTTCTCACTTGGGACAAAGTTATCTATTTGTCATTCTGGGAGATTCTTGTATGAGATTATGTGATATTATTTGTTTTTCACTTTTCTAAATTAAAACAGTTGTTGATAGTTGTGTAGGCTGTATGGTGACAGTCTTCTATCTGCATCAGGGATAGAGGCAAAAGACCGGAAAGGTTATTCACGCTGCCTGTCATAACTTTGGGCCTTTGAATCTCAAATCTTAAAAAAAAAAAAAGAGTTCAGAAGTTGCTACAAAAGTTGAGTGATTTTTATATTAAAACCTTTACAGGAAACAATTAGTGATCTCGCTTCCATTTCCCACTAAACTGAAATCCTTTCTGCAAAACTGGCAACCTCCAACCAGTAGTTTCTCCAGACCAAATTTAGACTGTTAGCAAATGTACTTAGAAGAAAATGGACATGTAAAGTACATTGTGTATGCCACTAAAAGTAATCCTTTGAAGCTTGGGTATTTTGATGTTTCCTAAGTATCTGTTCCTTCAATATTTTTAATATGCTTTATATTTTACATCCAAATAACTCCACTGTAAGGATATATTTTGATAACTCACTTTAAATTGTGGTTTGAAATCTTTGAGAGCTCCTTGTTATTGTGTTTTGGTTTGGGTTTTTGTTCTGTTTTGACATTGGGAGTGCCTTAAGCATTCATAGAGCTGAGCTAACCTTGGATTTGCTGTTAAAGGCCCCATGGTCAAATTATGTCTTCTTAATCAATAATTGTTCTTTATTCTGAAATACTGTGCATCTCAGCCAAAGTTGGCGTCATGTTACTTAATAAGCACGAAATACTTTTAAACTACATAGGAGTTCAGTTTGAATATTTATGTTAATAGTTGTTTAACATGGATAAATGTATTTTTTCTATTTTAAATTAATGTATTTACTCTGATTTTAACCTGTTGTAACAAACCGTGGCCTTTAATACAGCCAAGGAGTGGATTAAGGTCTGCAAACATCTGTGGAACCACGGTTACATTTTCAAACTGTATCGATGTACTGAATGCAAGATGCCAGAGATGATTTTTCCAGTTATTTTCCCTTTTTCTCCCCACTGCTAAATATTTGCTTAATGCAAGTGTACGTACAAGTAAATTTGTTTTAATTGGTGGAAGAAGGCTTTGAAACTCATTAAGGTAGATTAGAAACTGTGTTTTGAATGGCGGGGGAAGGACTAGGAACTTCTTACAGTTCTTACAGTTTGCTTGAAGGCACTAAACAAAGTGGGCTGTGGCAGCTGCACTGAGCTAGCAACTGAGCAGCTAAGTAGGTAGAGGAAAAAAGAAGGCAACAACACTCAATACAGGGAATCTGGATGCAGGACATGATGAGATGCTTGGATTTTTGATAGTTTTTATGTTGATTTGAGTTTCTGATGGGCTTATTTTGGCAATTGATAATTGCTTGGTTGCATAGCTAGCTGTCTGTTAGTTTAAAAGGAAATTCTTCCTTGTTAAGTTAGTAGTGATAAGTTTATCTTCCTTACTAGTCTTGCTTCATCTTACTCAGTGACAGCTTTATTTCCATCTGCAAGAGGCAGGTATCCTTTCTTCATACAAGGAAGACTGTATTACATCACACTTCTATTGTTTGTTGTATTATCAGACTGGGGGTGGGGATACTGTACTGCTTAACATGTCGAAGCTGAAGAATGCTTCATGTCTGAAGCTTTTCTGGATTTAGCTTTGTGTCAATGTAACTGGAATAACATCATAATTGTAATACTCTTAATGATGACCAGGTTCAATATTCGATTTAGATCTGTTTTGACCCAAGAGTTCAGTCTCTTTCTGATTCCTTTTTGGACATTTAACAGTGTCAAAAGTGCATGTTGCAGTTCATGCTGTTATCAGTTTCAGTTCCTCACATCTTGACCTACAAAGACCTAGACTTGTGGTAGAACAGAGCTATGTGAAGAGACTTGTCCCCATGTCTCTGATTTTGGACTGCTGTCTTATCTCATTAAGTGAAGCAAGGTGAATCCTACTGGGAAATGTATAGCAGCCTATCAATCAATATATATTAACTTCAGCTTCATCAAATGAGCAGTTCTTATGCCTAGCTTCAATACTTCTTAAGTCCTAAAGCAACTTTCAAAGAACTCTATCTAGCTTTGTCTCTTGGAGGGTGAACAAAAATGGAGCAGGCGGGAACTGTGCATTCTTACACCATCAATGTTTGATTTTCTAAGTTTCTTTAATAGTGGTAAAGGCTGTACATCTCTAGCAGCAGTTCTTCTTCATGCTGATATATACATACCCTCCCCAATATTATGTTAAAGGTGGCTCATTTCACTGAAATCAGTAATGAATTTATGATGTACCTACATCTCTCACTTCTGTATTATAACTGCACACTTTGTGTTTAGAGTTATGAAACCACACTGCATTTTTTTTAACTCTAGATGATCTGCTATGTTACCAGTGTTGTTATTTGTTTAAAAGATACTGTTTTCACTGGTTCTTCTGTCTTGCTTTTTTGTTTGTTTGTTTAAACTGTTTTGACTGAAATTTCTCACCATGTTCTTTGCCTACAACTAAAACTTTTCCTTTAAGAACAAATCAACCAAAATGTTTCAGCCAATTTTCTAGAATACATATGGAGAAAACCTTCTGTTCGTAATGTTTTCAAGTGGAAACCATAGGACTGTGGTTACCTTTTATTTAAAAAGCCCTAATAGTCCATGGCTTGCAGGAAATATATAAGCATGGTGTTATCTATTAGAATAGACAAAAGGCCGCATTCCTGATGCAAAAATCTGTTGAGACTTGGTGTCTTCACAATCTCTGAAAAATGCAGTGAACAAAAATGATACCTTACTGCAGGAAGCTGGGTGTGACAGACTGTTTTAGGAAGGTGGGGACAGGATCTGAGAAAACTTGCCAGTTTTCTTTGATACCTGGCTTGCAAAGATTTTTAATTCTTTTGTAGACAGCATATAAAAAAAATTGAATACTGAAGACTGGTGGAGCTAGAAAACCTGTGAGAAGTTACTAGAGGAAAAGGCTGAAATGAGGAGATGAACTTAAGCAGAATTTGGCATGTTAGGAAAATTGCTACTGGGACAAGACAAAGTGGGCAATGAGTAAAATAATGGGAAGTCTCAGAAGATGAGAATAACTTGTGCAGCAGTTTGGTCTGAAGTGGACAGAAAGGATTTAGTCTCAGACATGTGAACCAGCACTAAAATTATAGGCTACACAATCAATTCTGTGTACTATTGCTGCCATTATTCAAATGACAATCAGTTCAAGCAACAGGGGTTTCTGGCCTATACATATGATCCCCTTTTGTGAAATCTGGAATTTATGTTTTAACTTCTTAGGTATTTTGATTTAAAAAAATAAAGCCTAAAACCCGTTAAACATTTAAAAGAAAACAAAACCACAAAAAAAGTTAAGAAAACTCTTGACACAGGTTAAAAAGCCAAGTACTCATCTGTGTGGGTGGGTACACTTGAAAAATCTTCAATTGCCTGACTTGACTGTATATAAATTTCTGCTTCCAGTGATCCTTTTGAAATTCAGTGTGTAGAATGGGTACTGCTTCATTTTTATTCTCTAGAGAACAGAGAAGATACACAAAAAACAATGAAATTAAGGTTACCAAGGCAACTTTAATTTTGGCAATTCCTAATTTTTATTTCTTGGTTTAGCAATCTCAGTGGATTGAAATTTTATTTGAGCTTTTTTAATATAGATTGTATTTTGTGTTGTGGGAGATATGTTATGAGTCTATCTTAACATACTAAAATAAATTACAAAAAATGGCATCTTCTTTAGCAGCTGCTGTGTATTCTGAGTTACTAGGCTGTACATTGCTATACACCATGTATGTACCATACAGAACATGGCTATATAAAAGTTCACCTATTTCTTCCTTAGGTCCTGTTACATGTAGACCCTTTCGGGTCACTGGCTTCAGCTCCATCACAATATCCTTACATGTGTTGGTGGTGCCTTGACCACTGAACCATGCTGGAGAAACTGGATTAAAGGGTCAGGTAAGTGTTTGTTTGTTCATAGTGCTGTCTTGTATACAGCGTATGAAAAGAACCCATAAGATTTTGAATAATTTTTTAATCTGTAAATGGTCACAAAATTGGCAATTTATTCTTCCTTTTCTCTCAGTCACTAGAGACTCCATAATCCAGCAGTTCTTGTAATCTGATGCTTGCTGTGTCATCAGATTAAAAAGAATTGGCAATTTAATACATAAGGCTTGATGAAACTGGGTGAGGAAAAGAAGTCTTTATTTTTTTCTTTCTGTAAATAGCAGTGTGCTGAAATGTCTCACATTACCAGGTTCCAGTTTTTACAAATCATCTTCAGAGTTGGTACAACTGTTTTGAGATTGATTTATTTATATAGCAATTAACATCAGATTTTATATGTTGTTTATAAACTAGGGGGGAGGGAAAAGAGAATTTTGGGTACTTTGCTACTTTGTTGCTAATACAGAAGCAGTAATATACAAACTATGTCAAATTAAGTGATTCTGTGCCAAATAATGCTGTGGATTAAAGTATTTCCCTTACTCTGAAGCAAACACTGGCTATCTTCTCAATCATGTAATAGATTTTTTTCCCCCTAGTTTTATGAAGTATATATACAGCACTGTGTTTCTTAAGCTTATATTTTAGGTTGGAAATAGCTGACATTTCATTGATGTTTGTATTAGTCTTAACAGTGTAATTAGAATTATGTGCTATTTTAACAATATTTGGATATTCATGACATAAGTCAATTCCTTGCAATATAGTAGCTGTATTATGTAAAATGGTTGTTTGTTCTTTATCTACACATATAGTGATCATTAGAAGTTTTACTGAGGAAACTTAGAAAAGACAACTACTTAAAATGTGTGTTGTTGGATAAAGCTTTTGGATGATAAATACATAGTAATCTGGTAAACCAAATGGATTCAGGTCAAATGAGATACTTGAAAATCACGCTTTTCCTTCCTGCATTGTCACTTTTGAAAGGAAAGGGATATTTATTGTTGTGGCAAGTGTGTCAAACACAGTAGTGACTTTCCAAATGCTGTCATTTTTGTGATTATAATTTGTGTTTACCTAATTTTGGTTTTATCTTTTGTTGAGCCAAGCAGAATTTTAGCAATTTTTTAATGCAATTGTACATCCAATAATGACAATCTGTGCTTCCTGGGTGTGTGTGAATGGCAGTTAAACATTTCTCTAAGTCACTTGCCTATTCACTGTATTTGCAATATATGCAAAAGTAAAATAGAGCAGTTCTTTCCTCAAAATCACTTCTATTTAACTTGGATCTAACTTTGTCCTAAGGGGTAAAAAACAGACAAACAACACAAGAAAATGAACAAAAGACAACCCCCAAAAATGGCTTTTTTTGAGAAGCTCTATTTTATGTGTGTTTCACAAACATAATACAAAATGAGGAGCAAGGTTTATTTTCTCTACAACTTTGTCTTTCACCTGAAAGTATAATATCTGAGATTTTTAAGTCTTTCCATCACTGATGGTATTATAAAATATTGGTTGATAGTTTATTTTGTGTTTCTTTTTAATTAGTTTATGTAATTTATTTGTTAATTGGCAATCCAGAGAAGCATTGAAGGAGCTTGGGAAAGGAGTTTGAAGGAGTATGGAAAATCACAGAACTTCTACATCAGTTTTATCTTCATTTTGGGACCAAGTATTCAAAACTAGACATCAAATGAATGGACATCACAAACAAATCCATCATAAAAAACCAAACCCACAAATAAAAGAGAGGGGCAGAAGAAAGAAGCCTGAAGATAATTCTGTGTGCTCCAACACAAAAGCAACTAGAAAGAAGGATTCAAGTTAATTTAAATGCAATACCAACAATAGGTACCACCTCTATTACAGCAAAACTTGCTATTTTGTTCCTTCATTGCAGAACTTTTGATAGTCTGGCCCATTTATTTGTTTGCTTAGTTACACTTATTTTTATAAGAAAGTTGCTCCTGGATAGCCTGAACAAAATAAGGTACCCTGTTCAAATAGCTGCCTTCTACTTGGTTTATGATATAGTACCAGGCTTTTGAAAAAATTAACCAGGCGCTGATCAAAAGGTGCTGCTAAAGGTTTTCTTTTACATTTTGTTACAAGAAACAACAAAGTGGAGTCACTGAGATAAGCTCTTGGAAGAGCCAAGAGAGGTGCTGTGAGACTTCTTGGAATTCTACAAGTTAACTAGGTGAAAAAACAGCTTCCTCTGTAGTCAAGGCTGCATTTTTAAGAGGCATGTTTATTGAACACCAATTTTATTAGTTAGTGTAAAATTCTACTTATCTGCAGTTTTAAGAGTTAACACCAACACTTTGCCTGACCTCAAGTGCATCCTTTCTTCCAAGGAGAAGTTGAGAAGGCATTTGATGCTTCCCTATTATTCTGAAGAGATCTTTCTTTTTGATGAAGAAATAGTAATCTCTGGTAGCCACCTGTCCATGAGTTGACATTACAAAATATTCTGATAACTTTCCTAATCTTTAGATAGAGAAGTTTGTGTGCATCTATTTCTCTAGGTTTCTTCTAAGTATGTGAATTTGGTTTTGGGCATGTTCTTTTCTTTGCTGTTGTTAATGGCCATACATTATTAGAAAACGTTTTCACAGTAGTTTAACTAGAGAAGTCACTTCTACAGTTGTGTATTATAAATTAATTCAAGTTGTCAAACTTTTTTCCCCAAATAGCTTCTTTATCCCACTGTTTTCTAGGGCTGAAGTATTTATCTATACTGAGTCTGGATTTCCTGGTTTGATGTTGGTATTGCTTGCATGGAAAGAAATAAACACATGTTTTAGGAGCTTGCTGAAATTGGTACAATTAAAAAAAGAGGCGAAAGTGGAATTTGGATTTGGTTAGTCAAAGGCCTAATTACTTGAAGTAAGCTAGCAGCTTTGTTAGTAGATAGTGAGTAGACCAGAGTGCTGCTGATGTACCTTTCACTTAGGCATCCATCTTTTGTTTGTTTTTTTTTTTTGGTTTTTTGTTTGTTTTTTTTAAATGAAGCAGTCAGTTAACAAAACTTGCCTCTGTTTTAAGTTGGAGAAGTATAAGGTTAAGCACATTACATTATTGTATCATTGCCACAGTTATTTTTGAACCAGTGGAGTATGACAATCCAAATTTTTTCCGAGGTTACATGTTAAACACGTCATCTGATGAACGCACTTCCTTTCTGTTTCGAAAGCAAAGGGCACATTTTGGACTGGGTCTCCGGACCTCTCCCTGCAATGCTGCTTGTAATTACTGCAAAGATTAAGAACTTGAACTTTTCATACCTAGTCCTGACTTGAGCTTTGCTTGACTTAGTTTTGTACAGCAAAACAAACTTCATGTCAACACTGTTTCTTTCTTACAGCCCCCCTGAAGTGCAAACTCCTGAAACCAGCAATTAGCCGTAGTACCTGCCCGTGGCTGTCTCTGAATTCTTTCTGCTGAAGGCTCTGACCCCGCGGCAGAGCAGGATCTGTCTCCAGTTGTGTGGAGCTCAATTGCACGCAGCTCCAGCCGGCTGTGTGTCCTGCAGCACAGAATGAACAGCTGGTGGCAGAATGGCCTCGAAGACAACATTACCATGCTGACCTGACTGCGACTCCAAGCACCCGGGCTGTGCTACCACACAGAGCTCCAGTATGCCAAAGTAAGTAGCCTCATTTTCTCTTTGTCCCAGCGTTGTCTCTCGTTATGCCTAACACAGTCACTTGGGAAGCATATTTGAGAGTCTATTGGTGCTGTAAAACTTTAAGAAATTCTTTTAAACTGAGAAAGGTCTGCCGTCACAAGGTCACCAGTGAAGTGTTCCTAACGGGACTTGGAAACCCAGGTGTTTTTCCTTGCTGTCTTGTTGCGCTTTTTTTGTTTTTCGCCAGGAGGGGGCAGCAAATGAACAACGTCCGAGGGGATTTTTACTTTTCAAACGCTTTTCTAGTGTTCTTTTTTGCCTGAGATCCTCAGTGTGAGCTACATACCGATGTGAGAGTTTAAAACGATGATTTCTACCTATTTGGCTACAAGGATAGCTGGAATGTACGAATTGGAAGTCTTCATTCTTTTTGGTATTAAGCAGTAAAATTTATTTAGCAAAATCTATGTCAAGTTTATAAAAAGCACAGTTCTGCATGAAGGTTTAAGATTTTTATGACTGTGGCAATTAGTTCTGGGTATATTTTAAAGGATAAAATAACCAAAAAACCAAACCCCATGACAATATTAATTAATGTCACCTAAGTCTTACTTAATGTGTTTCAAATATTTATTTTCTATGTTGCAAGTTAATGTAATATTACAATTCAGAATAATGTTCTCACAGACGTTTTTCTCTCATCAGAAAATAAATCTGAGGATACACTAAAGCTAATGATGCTTTTAATTCATGTATAATTAATGCATTCATGTACAAGGGTGGCTTGTGTGTACTGCTGACAGAGCATGGGAGTTAAAGTTCTGAATTCACAGGGAATTCTAGTGATGCTAAACAATATAACCAAATTTTATTGCCTTATTTCAGCCACAAAGTACAGTTTTGTCATCTAAAACTTTATGGAGGCATACCACATTACTGATTGGGAGTATAGTGGGGGTTTTTTGTGTCTGTATGGGAAAATGCTGACTATTACCTATCACTGTGAATTTCTTGAAAATGTTTGGCTGTGGTTCTGTTTAAGTTAGAGATCAAGTAGTTAGCAAGAAGCCACAGAGAGAGGGCAGTCTGTTCTTTTCAGTTGCTGAGTTCTATCCAATAGTTCCTATAAAAGAAGGGCAGATCATAGTGGTATCTATGAATGTCAGCTCCTATAATCAGCGTCCAAAAGCTAACTGGGAAGAATGAAGCTGATTCCTAACAGGACCGATTTATTGATAGTCTTGCCTTAATGGTTTTCATTAAAATCCTAAGTGTCATAATGCTTGTGGGACCTTTATGGAGTCTAAAACTTGATCAAGGGAATTCAAGACCCTTTGGTCTAAATGGGTTAGAATGTCCCACTGTATAGATAGATACACCTTATCTATATGTCAGGAATGAAAGGCTGAATCATCCATATTCCAGGTTCCTTTGGAATTTTGTCCCTTAACTTTAGAAGACTTAACCAACCCTCCTTTTCTCCTTCAAAAAAAGAGAACAACTATTTCTGGGGATTTTGCACTGCAAGTGCTGCCTATGGTAACTTTATCAGAATTCTGAAATTTTCATTTAAAGCTATTAAATGGACTGGAAATAGGCAGTTATGCTTACACTTTCTTTTTAAAGAGTAATTGAAATAGCTAGAAATTCCAAAAAGCATTACTTTTCTACAAAGCATTTCAGAAAGGTTGTTCTATGAAGTCATTATGAAATGACTTTAAATGCATTGAATATACAGTTATAATTCTCATTTAAATGAGTAGAAATGAAAACAAAAAATATTTTCCAAGTCCATGAATTGGTATGTTACCCCTTTGAACTACACTTGGATTCACAAGAGTATTACAGAAAATAGCCTCTGCATTTTTGGGCTCTGCTTCGTAGCTCTAAAAAGGTTCTGCCTATCCTGTAGGAATTAAAACTCTAGATCTTTGACTTTTTGGGAGGTTTTTTGTGATGGTTTTTCTACTTTAAAGATGACAAATGTTCAGGGAAGCGGGGGAAATTATTGCAAATAGTTACACAGAATGGCACAGCTTGACTTTCAGAGTTGGCTTTCACCTTGAAGCCTGCTGTTTAAATCCCAGATTTTTCCATATTGGCCCTTGGTTCTACTGAGGTCACTGTTTTAGCACCTTCTCTTCATCAAACACTTCAACAACTCCCCTGAGTAGTTAAGTTCTCTCATGCAAGTTAAGGGCTTTTATTCTTTGAGCAATGTAAGCTTCATTTTTGTTGTGCAAGAAAGTGTTAATCCACACAAACAACTGAAGATTAAATCCCCTTTTGCATCTTTCTTGTTTGAACACTGTTGCATAAAATATCAACTGTATGATTCACTGTTACTTTAGAATTAGCAGAAATACTTTTACCAGTAGAATTCTTGAGTATAATATAAACTAATTTCCTTGTTTTTTAAAATGCTTTGTTTTCAAAACAGCTGGGCTTTAATTGCCTTCATAAATGTTGTGAAAATAGCTGTGTTTTCATTATAAAGTGTTTAAAGAATGAGTAATCCTGTTCATTACATCCAACATGCGAATGTAATGCATGTATTTGGAAATAGTATTTACTCAGTAATTAATTATTTACAGGTATGTGTCCTTTTGCTGAGCGCTTGTCAATAATATGGATAGAGGTGCACCTTTTCAAACCTGCTATACTTGACTTCCACAAGGCAAAGATTTTAAACTTCTGTGCTTGTCTTTCTCCCTTTGAAATTACTGTGTGTTAAAGATGTGACTTTACAGCATTAAAGACTTGTGTTTGAATTTGTGAATAGCCACTGCTTCCTCTGTTGCTGAAATTTGAGGAACTTAGAACTAAGTGCTTAGATCTATATGGTTTTGAGGTATTCTAAGCATGGTATGGGGAAGAATCTGGAAAATCAAGGAATTTGGAACACCGCATCTGTGATCTGCATCGGTCTTTTCAAATGTTTTACAATTTTAATTCCTAGGAATCCTCTTTGTGTATAAGCACATACATAATTTTCGTATGCTTTCCCCCCCTTCTTTTAAATAAATTCCACTTGCAGGCTTGAAAGAGTAGCAGATTACACAGCAGGGACAAATAATTTCTAGAAAACTTAGGTGGACCATTCAAACATAAAAATACCACAATCTGATATGATCATGTTGCGTTATGCAGTATTGGCTGCTAGTAAATTAATTTGACACAGCAAACTATCATTTTGGGAATATAAGTAAATGATTGAAAATTAATAAACTAGTGACTGAAGTATTTCGTTGTATATAGGTTTGATAGGAATCTTAGTGCTCTTCTCCATAGTGATATCAATCTTTCCTAACTAATAGCCTTAAATACTCATGATAAAAGGCATTAAAAGCCTAAATTAACACAGTAACTGAGAAATGTAATCCCTTCAGACCACTTATACAGGGAGAATAGATGATGATTTTCCAGCTGTGACAAGGTTCATTTCCTTTTTGACAGGAAGCATTCTTACAGTTAGCTCTGCAGAAACACATGGGAATGCATGCTGACTTCAAAGCCTTTCATTGCCAGCACTGTGTGTAGGAAACAAGGTCTCTCTGATACAGCAGATGCAAATGCATACAGGTGGATTACATATATGTCTTCTTTATGTTACCACTTAGGTAAACTGCTTAGGGAGATAAAAAAAAAAGTACTGTACAGTTGAATATTGAATGCTCTGTAGGAGTGATTCTTTTGTGACATAAAAAAAATTTATAGAGAAAAGGGGTATTTTTCCCCTACTGGTAATTTTCCCTCTTATGTTGAATATGCAAAAACCAAACACTGTGATCCTGATTTAACAAAATAGGCAAATTTTTAACAGAAATGTTTTTTCTTGATTTTTTTTAATGGCAGTTAGGCATATTGATCTTTAAGGATATATTTGATCCTGGTTTAGGGTTTGTGTTCAGAAGACACCTATCTAAAGATATAGATATTGCAAAGAAAAGGATAGCTTATGTTGCTGACTTGTTAACTGAAAAGGATGTCTCTGCTAGTTCAGAGGGATGTGGACTTTAACCAGTTCATAAGTCTTTTTCTGTTTTGGTACTCCATGGCTGGGGAAGAAATAGGAATGTCTTCTCAAAACTTTTAAAATCGTCTTGCACATAATGGCATATTTCAAGATTTTCAGTATAACAGAGTTGTTTTACCACCTTGACTACATTCCCTTTCATTTTCTGGAAAGCTTCCTGCTTCAGTTTTTTTGTTTTGAAATTTAATGTTGAATCTCTGTCAAAGGCCCTGCCTCTCTGTGTCTTATGCTCTGGGGTTCTTTCTGCCTCAGTCAAGTGATTTGTTTACATAGACTTTGTATTGCCATGGTTATATTAAGTCTACCGTTCTACCAGAAAAGGCACTCGCATTAGAAATTCCGAATTACTGTGAAGAAAGTACTTTGTAGCACTGTCTGCTTGGAACTGTTGGATCTACGCCATCTTGTTGGTATTTAAAAAGTAAAGCCTTCCTCCTTTCTTCTGAACTGAGCATTTTATAGGATTAGAAAATAAGTTTAGCTGAATGAATAGGATGGAAACGTGCTATGTTGTGTTAATGGCGTTGTGAAAACTGCTACTTGTTATGTGCAGTGGGTGGGTGGACAGGACAGTGGGGCCAATTCGATGCTTGTGGTAATATTTAAATAAAATAGCTTGTGGAGAACTTGTCCTATAGGACCTGGCAGCATAGTGAATAGGGAATATCCACCTTTGTCCACATTGGCAGAATTAACTTCCTGTCCAGTTGAAGAAATGGAATACTCTTACAGTCGTTTGGCAGGAGTGCGGCACTCCCAACACTTGAGCATTGTGGGTGGTGCTGCATCCCATAGCGTTGGAGACATGGCATCACACATGGTGACAGAGGAGAGTAGGCAGATGTCTGGCAGGAAACATAGGTGTGAAGGGGGCTGATAGACGTCTCATGCTACTGGGACAGATGGCTCTCAATCTCTGTGGTGGCAAGTGTGCTGTGTCTTCAAAGACAGACATTTGCTCTATTAAATATTCTTAGCTTAT